ATATGAACTTCATATATTTCATTGTATCTCATTTATCACTTTCACGGGTTTATTACGAATCAACTTAACGGCCTGCTCCCAGTTGGCTTGTTAGCTCAATTGGTAGAGCGCTGCACTAGTATCGCAGAGGTCAGTGGTTCGAATCCCGTACAGGCCTGATTTTTTTCAGGTCTGATTTTCGCTATTGCTTAAATAGCGCTATCTACTGCGAGGATCGTGCATCATATGTATCTAATACCGCAGTACAAAATATATGAACTTCATATATTTCATTGTATCTCATTTATCACTTTCACGGGTTTATTACGAATCAACTTAACGGCCTGCTAGTTGCAGGCCGTTAAGTTGATTAACGGCCTGCTATTTGCTTCGTGCATCATATGTATCTAATACCGCAGTACAAAATATATGAACTTCATATATTTCATTGTATCTCATTTATCACTTTCACGGGTTTATTACGAATCAACTTAACGGCCTGCTCCCAGTTGGCTTGTTAGCTCAATTGGTAGAGCGCTGCACTAGTATCGCAGAGGTCAGTGGTTCGAATCCCGTACAGGCCTGATTTTTTTCAGGTCTGATTTTCGCTATTGCTTAAATAGCGCTATCTACTGCGAGGATCGTGCATCATACGTATCTAATACCGCAGTTCAAAATATATGAACTTCATATATTCATTGTATCTCATTTATCACTTTCACGGGTTTATTACGAATCAACTTAACGGCCTGCTCCCAGTTGGCTTGTTAGCTCAATTGGTAGAGCGCTGCACTAGTATCGCAGAGGTCAGTGGTTCGAATCCCGTACAGGCCTGATTTTTTTCAGGTCTGATTTTCGCTATTGCTTAAATAGCGCTATCTACTGCGAGGATCGTGCATCATATGTATCTAATACCGCAGTACAAAATATATGAACTTCATATATTTCATTGTATCTCATTTATCACTTTCACGGGTTTATTACGAATCAACTTAACGGCCTGCTCCCAGTTGGCTTGTTAGCTCAATTGGTAGAGCGCTGCACTAGTATCGCAGAGGTCAGTGGTTCGAATCCCGTACAGGCCTGATTTTTTTCAGGTCTGATTTTCGCTATTGCTTAAATAGCGCTATCTACTGCGAGGATCGTGCATCATATGTATCTAATACCGCAGTACAAAATATATGAACTTCATATATTTCATTGTATCTCACTTACTTACTTGACTACAGGTCTACATTTTTTTCAGGTTGCGTACTAGTTCAGGCAGACAGATGTACTTTTTTTGCACACTCCTCCTCTTGCACATGAATTTCCACTAGTGTCCACCTTGAGGCGAACCGACAAAAGATAAACATTTAGAAGAGAATACTTACTGTAAAACCAGCGGGGCCTGGGAACCCCGGTCGTCCTGGAGTGCCTGGCTCTCCTTTGGGTGGAAGGGTCTATAATAAAGATAAAAATCGTCATTTCCGTTTTCATTTGTCCTTTCCAGCCTAAAGAAACTGTGGTGCTGCGTCGGTGGAAGGTATAACAGGATGATTAGGTTTAATCAACTGAGGTTATAATAAAATAATAATAATAAGACGCATTCTTCCTTAAATAATAAAGATGTTTTTAGACCCTTGCGCGTGCCAACACAGCGATCAAACATCTGCGCAAGTGCTACGGTAGTAAAGACTAGGTTTATGTGCTTTCAGCCTGTCAGGACCAAGTCTTGGGTTCTAGCAGACACACAAACCAGTAAGTCAGGTGCTTTAACACGTACGACTTTTTCGGTAAAGCTCAAAGAAATTAATAAAACAACATGATATTCATTCTTGAATAATCTTTGAGTTCGAAAAATATGGAGTTTTTCTTTTCCCTCCATTTGTTTCACTTTACAGATTTCTATGAACGTCTCACTCTTCACTCGTTTATTTGGCGAGACAGCGGTTTCTTCTGTTTTCCTTTAAAATTTTGCGGGAAATTAGCGCGCGGCCGGCCAGAATAGATCCCCACGCGCATGCTTGATGTTTGACTGCTATGTGACGCGTGCTCCTTTGTATTCTTTTCAGACTGCTAATCTGATTTTTCGCCGGTGCACTTTTGATTGTCTCCAAGTTCGTCACTAGTGACCCGGAATCTGTAATTGTTTCTAAAACTGAACAGCAATGATTCATGAAATGTGACAAGATCGAGAGTCGTTGTCAACTTACCGAATTTGTGAATATCTCGGGTGGGGGCCTATTATCAGGTAACCGGTAAGTATTTGACCTGCGAGACGACAAAAAAAAAACAACAACAACAACAACAACAACATCAAAGTGCTTTTCGGTTGACTGTAATATATCTAGCCTTCTTGCAGCTGGTTGTTTGCGTTTTCAAGCTCGAGGTTCACAGCGCGGTGAATATTTGGTCGCTATATTGGACGGGAAGCCTGGAAAGTCTGAGACGAGTGACAAAGCGAGGGGCTTATCCAGTATGGCGACCGAATATTCGCCGCACTGAATCTCGCGCTTGAAGACACAAACTACCACCTGGAAGCAGGCTACAATACATCCAAATGAATAAAGGCTGATAGTTTCGAAAGAAACTGTTTGGGGCTGCGTCGGTGGGAGTAACGAAATAATTTGGATATATCAACAAAGTTGAAATGGTAAATTGGCCACCGTAATGATTACAAAAGCTGACGTTTCGAGCGTTAGCCCTTCGTCGGAGGGCTAACGCTCGAAACGTCAGCTTTTGTAATCATTACGGTGGCCAATTTACCATTTCAACTTTGTTGATATTTCCAAATTATTACAATACATCCAAAACCAAGGTGATTGTACCTGTTAATAAGCAGGGAATCCTACAAGCAGGCCCTCGTAATGAGCGTTGCGCTTTTCTGCCTGCAGCAAAGTAGGATCCTTGAGCAACGCGAAGCGGCGAGAGGTCTGTGAGAAGTTTAGTGCCAAACCCGTCATATACCTCTCCCTGACTCGTCCCTAATCTTCCCACGGGCGGGAAAACGCGCGTTCGGCGGCGGTTATAATAATAATAAGCAGTGGCGGACCTTGAGTGTAGACCTTGAGCTAAGGGGAGGGGGCGTTTTTATTTGTGTGTGTTCACCTTCCAGCTTTTCTTCCCTCTGCGTTTATTTTTCCCCCAAAAAAAGGGGGGGGCTCAGGCCCCCCGTGCCCCTCTCCTAGATCCGCCACTGATAAGGGCCATTTCGTAAGCTAGCAAAAGTAGCAAACTAAGATCACCGAGCGTGAACATACAGAACGTGTATATCTTTATATCACGTGATAGCTTTCATCGTCTTTAGCTATGTCATGATGACGAGGCCTAACAAGGCCGAAACGGCTACTTAGCTTTAATCTGAGCGTGTCTATTAACCTTTTAAACTTTAAGGGTGATCAGCATTTCATTTCTCCTTACAATATTACTGCTGAATTATTCATTAAGATCATGAGAATGAAGGAAATGATCGCCAGCCTTAGAAGCTTTGATTGTTAAACAAATTCTCCTTGTCAATACCAAAAATGTATCGAGAACAGTATGGAGAATATGGATACTGATATTAGGGTGTAAAGGGTTAAATACGTGAGATTTTATCATTGAGCGTGGTCTTCACTTTGTGGGTTAACCCATTTACTCCCAAGATCTGATTAGAAATTCTCCTTACTGTCTGTCATACAATTGTTATGATGTTCGTTTGGAGAATTTGGTACTGGATCAATGAAGACTTCCCTAATTGATAATTTTCTTTATTCTCATTACTTGTCTGCCTGATAATTTATTGATAATGTGAGGAGAAATTCTGTCTTGGTCACTCATGGGAGTGAAAGGTTTAAGCTTCCAGGTCAAAATCGAAGTAAACATTCCCAATGTCAACTGTTGATTAAAAGGAACTTACTCAACTGCCTGCCTCCGACTCCTGCTCAAGATCTGTTGAGAAATTAAAACAAATCGTAAATTAAGTTTCTGAATGTCGCGTTTTGCAGCAAATTTTATTCAAAGTCACCCGTCCAAGAAGTAGCATAAGAACATTCCTGTCCTTTTGAATTAATGGATAAGTGTTAGGCAAAACCTTACGTATTTCTGATTAGTTTTTGCGGAAACTGTTAGCACAACCTGGTTCCCAGGGTCCTCTCTCTTCCTCAAGAGAAAGGACCCTGGGAACGAGGTTGACGGTCTGCATTGTACTGAGGATTTGCGTGACATTATAGAATAAAATCCCTGCTGCTGTCGTAGCAGCTGTCCAAAAATCAAAACTAAGTTCGTCAGATGTTTCTCCAAAATCATTGAAAATCAAGTAATCTCACCTCTTCAGTCTCGTCATCTATGGGCACAGCTGTTGGAGGAACAAGAGCATGTCAAAAAAAGAAAACACAAGTCATAAGAGTAAAATGCTATTTAATACAGACTGTACCTGAAATTCACCGGCCCTATCACACAACTTTAAGAAAACTAGCTCAGTTGCCAGCAAACTGTGATTCTATCATTTTTCTTTTTAAATTGATGAAAAAAAGAATTCATGAGAAAAGTTGTCAGTCTCGAAATCGTAAATTTCTAGGTCTATCAAAAGTAGTTTTTATTTTCGAAATCGTTGCACGCAGGAATCTTTTGGCGCTTTTCATCGACCATAAAACTTGCAAGGTAGTGAACAGAATGGAAGATCACGCCGCGTTAAGAATATACAGGAGATACCCATGAAAAGTCTTAAAAATCAATAAGAATTACGGTTCTTGCAAAAGCGAACGTGAAATTCACCCATAGTATTCTTCGAATCTAAGAGATCCAAGAAATAAATAGAAAAAGGAAAATATTTCAGTCCTAATTAATGCTCATAAATCGGCTGAAAGGATTACGGCAACGTTCAAATCTCTCAGATGTTGTGCGTGTCACGCAATCTCCACAAAAAAGGCATTATTCCATTCAGCCTGGGAAATATTCCACAAATCATTTCACATTTTTCGTATTTTACATCAAGTAATGTCTGGAATCGTTAACCACAGCAGATATTGGGAGAATAATCTTAAAGTTTTTATCAAAAGTACTCTTTGAGTAGTAAATAAGCATTCATTTGGTGAGTGAATGGTAAAATTTCCCTTCATAAGCCCAAGTTGGTAACTTAATCTGCTAGACAATTTTATTACAACTGGAGAGCTCTTCTGTCTTTCAAACAGTGACGCGTATAAACCATGGGTTAACACTTGGAACAAGGACCACAAAGCCTTGAATTTTCAAACATATATCAACATTATGCATTTTAAAATGTTTTTTATTTTCCGATGTTTTCCTTCTTTATTTAGTTTTAAACCAAAGGTCAACTCTCCAAAAGAGGAGTGAAAAATATTAATCAACGCGTTATTGTTTCCGAAAAGTGTCTTAGTGCTGGGTAGGCTGTGTGATCCTTCGATGGAATATCAGTATATTCAGAGAAAAATTCACTCAAATTGAAATTCAAAAGCTTAATTGTAATGAAATAATGCGTAGTCCAAGATAGGAACCAAAGAGGAGAAAGAATTGTGTTATGCTCTTAACTGATCCTGTGCCAGACGGATGTGTCTTGAAATGAATGTGTGAAACTCCAGACACTTTTATTTCGTTCATGCCTTAATCTTCGAGTCTATCAATAAAATAGTTTTTAATTAACCCCTTCAGCTGAACAGTTACTTCGAAGCCTTAAAGATGAAGGAAAGAATCTCTCTTGCGATATACCAGCATAAGTGAGCTGTTGTGACACACACACACACACACACACACAATTGTAACAAACAAGCATGCATTGTATTCCGTGAATGCTGCTGTTCATTGGACTCTGTAGTGTAAAATTCTCTCAGATTTTATCGGTTAGCTCACAAGCCCGGTTGCTTTAAGAATCTTACGAAATACCTCATAATTGCTTGTATATTTTACTAACCTTGCAAAGTGAAGAAGCTCGCAAACCATACCGCAAGAACAAGAAGTCGCGCTAGAACCATTTTGGATATCCTCAGTCGACGTTACCGAGTTCAACACGTTCCAAAGCTCGATGGGAACGTGAAGGTCCAATGTAATACTGATCAGATAAACTGTTGCATAGAAAGGGAATTCGCTACACCAACGAGTCCAAAATCTTGCTTTTACCGGGAATGAGCTAAGCCAAGGCCTACCTTAGTAAGGAATGCCCGTGTGTTGACTCGCTCGCGTGGTGTTGGGAGAGAGCTATGGCATATTTAGCAAGATCAGATCTCTCAGGGTATCGGGTTCGCTCGGTTAAATGCCCCTTTCACTCCAGGTAGGGACGAAGTTCAGGGTGTGGTCAGCGCGCATGCTTACAATGATAGTAAGCGAATCATCACTTTCAACAGCTTCTATTCAATTTTAATTCATTTTTCGATCCCAAATTCATAACAGGTTTCTTTTGGTTCGGACGACCAGAAAAAGATAGAGAAAACAAGGATAAAAAAAATGAGTAACACAACGGCTTCGCATAAATGTCACGCAAACAGAAGTACCCTCAACCCCCCTTCCACGTTCAGTGTTGTCGCTTATTCATCGTTTTGGGGTTGTAATTGAGAAGCTAGCGGGCATTTTTACCTAAGAGGTTTTTCATAAAACGACTTCCTATACTTTCCGTTCTGAATGCGTTTTCCTTAGTTTCAGATTCCTTCATTGACACTGTGTTAAAAGCCCACAATGAACTACGACTCTATCATAACGTGCCCAGCCTTAAATGGTCACAAGCACTATCAAAAGACGCACAAGCTTGGGCCGAGAAACTGTCACGAAACGACGAACTGCGTCACGCACGTAAAGAAGAGCGGAATTTCAAGGGTGAGAATATTTGCCGCATGTCTGACCACTATGATGTTACTGACGCTGTCAGAATTTGGTATTCGGAGGTCCATAGTTACAAATATGACTCGCCAGGGTTTAGCCGTGATACTGGTCACTTCACACAGATTGTTTGGCGAGAAACGTCTGAAGTCGGAGTTGGAACTTGTAAGAGTCGAGATGGAAGACTTACGTACATTGTAGCAAGGTATCATCCAGCGGGGAACGTGTTAAAAAGGTTCAGTGAAAATGTACTACCATCGAGCAGTTCAACCATTTAAATTACTACTGTATACTTTTAGAAAGTTTCCATCGAGACTTATTAAAATCGTAACGTCAGAAAGTCAGATTACCAAGAACTTGTGTGTGTTGGGGAAATAAATGACGATCTATGAGAAATGAATAGTTTATCTTTGTGTAATTCGTAACTGTGGGTTTTCTGTACTGTGATATTGCATGTAATGGAGCAAAGACAAGTCATTAGTTAGCAGCGGCCGTGCACCTTGTAAGGGGGTTTTGTTCTTAGCGTCTCTGCGTTGTGCAGATTGTGCTAGTTTTCAAACAGTTCTATTTTTTCAACAATTGACTTACTGCTGCAATTAGGTGGCTCTGCCACCTCTATTTTAATTGAAGTCCCCTAATTACCGCAAGGCAAGCAGGCTTCCACCCAACTTCTCACGATGAATTTGGGTGTTCTGTGCTTCTCGCGTTTTTCTCGCAGACTAAGAAACTGGGTATAAGAGAGCTCAATTCAACATGGCGGCGATGAAGGAGTAATGCACGTGGAGGTTAAACTTGGTTGGTTTTCAGCGAATTGGAAACATTCGTGCCTGTAAATCAAAACATGAGTAATTTCATATTAATGGCCTCTCTGTACACTAATCGCGTCGGTTTATGGCTAAATCGGCTGCATAACTTCGTGTTTGGAACACATCGCTCTTTTCCAACCTAATTAGCAACAGGGACAAACACGCTTCTAGAGGTAAGTTAAGTCACACTAAAAAGTATATTTATCACATTTCTTACATGAACTTGTGTTTTAGAGACTCGACAGATATTACCCAGGAGTAATTAAGCGTTAGTAAAATGCGTTCGATCTTTGTTGTATATATAAAATAATTTCTCGAGTTATGCTTAGTAAAACCGAAGATATAATTTTAATTAGCTCTTGCTTTGACTCTACAGAAGACAACAAGCATCTCACCATCACGTTATTCATAATAGTTTTTTTTATTGCATTTTTAGATCCCCCACTGGCACCTGTTCCATATCTATGGAACAGTCCAGTGAGACCTAACATCTCACAAGTCCTAGTCATCTACTTCTGAAACTCCTGACCACCTGCATTGTCACCAGCTTTACCATCCCTAGCTGCAACTTGACTGCCATCATTGATTTCAGCTGTGCTGACCATGTAGCGAGAACAAGAACAAGCACCAGC